CACTAACAATTCACATAATTGCTGATCGCGCAGGGGCATTTCGGGGGAATCTTGAGTCACAAGTTCCAAAATCCAAAATCCAAAAAGTGTTACAGTAAATCTTGTGGCACATGTATGGAGTACTAAATATAGACGAAATAAAAAACTAATTACACAATTTTGCAGGAAAATTGTGAGACGAATATTTTGTCCGTGATTTGACACTAAAGTGCTACAGTAACACTTTTGCTAATGACGGATTAATTAGTCTTAATAAATTCGTCTCTAGTGCAATTAGTTTTTTTATTAGTATTAAAAACCCTTCCGATATCGCACGAAACATCCGATGTGATATTTTCACCCTTCCAAAATTTGGATCTAAATAAACAGGGGCTTGTTCAGCAAATGGAACACGCACGTCCCTGCCTGCCCTGAATGAACTCGGCAGCGGCCATCACGCACCAGTACACTGTACGTACACCACACCACCACCCGACCATGGTACCTGGGACACTATCTGATCGTCGTCCGTGAACTTCCCTGCACCTGCTGCCCGGAAGGGAGAAGGCTTGTTTACCTGAAGAAAACACTGGGGCAAGAAGGAAAGCTTGTGAAACAAAGACAAAATTTTGAGCAATACATGTATATATCAAATAGACCGGGAGGGGTATCAGTGAATATTGAATTATTTATGCCTCCCACTTGCGGTCCCCTTTACTAATGGGACAAAGCAAATAAATGCTGAACACATGAGATTCACATCACAGGGGCCTTCAAACTGTTTATATATCAAATAGACCGATCGGAATTTTCAGTGAATATTGAATTATTTATGTCTCCCACTTGCGGTCCCCTTTACTAATGGGACAAAGCAAATAAATGCTGAACACATGAGATTCACATCACAGGGGCCTTATTGTGACGCAACGCAAGCAAATTTAACTTTCACCTGTAGTATGGAAACTTTCGCTTGTATGAACAACACCCCAAAAAAAACCCTGCTGTTATGGCCACGTACATGACGTGCAAAAATGCCCGGCCCGGGGCTATCGGCGCTGCAAGCAAGTTGCATTGCAACACCGGTCCTAGGATAAAAATCTCTCTCTACTACGTATTTTTCTCCAACTGCGAGTATTGTTCCTTATGCTTGGAACTAGAGGGAAAAAATGGAGTTATTAGAATCCACTCTCCCAGGTCCCAGCTCGACCCGGCCGGCACCCCACGGGGAAAAAAAAAATTCTCTGCCTCACGCCGTACGTCGTGTCAGCATGCAGATGCAGTGCCATCCGTCCCGCGCGCGGCGGCGGTCTACAGCTCTATAAATATTTGCATGCCGCTCCGGTTTCCCTGCTCCGCCTATGGCTTGCGCCTTCCTCTTCTTCGACGCTCCGGGCGCCGGACGCCTGCGACCTCTCGCCGGTCTCGCCCTCCGGGTCCCCGCCGACGTACGCGTCCCGCTTCCCTGTAGTCTTGTCCATCTAACTACAGCGGCGGCGGCGGCGGCGACGTACGCCTTGGCTGCAGTGTGGCTTGTCGGGTCGAAAAGCGCGGAGGATGGCTGGGCGATGAACTGAAGGAGCTGCGAGAGCGCCGGATCAAGATACAGGGAGCGAGGAAGATTTATGAAGGGGAAGGGGAAGGGAAAGAAAAGATGGGTGAGTGAGTGAGTGAGTGGTATATATATGAGGCAGGCCGCAGGCGAGGAAGATAAAGGTACTCGGTGGTGGTCAGTGGCGGATTCAGAAACATGCTAAACCCCGGCTAACTAATATAAGACTAAAAATCTTACTAGCTCTAAACCATTAGATACATCATAGTTTCAAAGAAGACAAATAATGATATTATTGATTTAAAGAGCTCAAACATTGGGCTCAAACAATACGTAGAACATTGAGGCTAGAAAAGTACCAAATGAAGAGCCTTACAAGATTTAAAACATCATGATTTCACACATGTTGGCTGCTGCAGAGTCTAGACTCAGAGTGGGGAGCATCGGGGGCGGGCGGTGGTCGCCTGGCTAGGCGCTAGCCCTGGCCGGGCACCATGCGATGGGTGAGGGCTGACTGGCCAGCAAGGATCGTCGTGCAATGAAGAAGGGGGGGGCTTGTGGCAGCGGGTGGGTGGAACAGGAGGCGGCGTCGTGTGGGAAGTAGGGCGGCGAGGGGGGGCCCACGAGGGGCGGGAGCCGGGGGGCAGGAGCGGGATGCGGAGGCGAAGCAGTCGCTGACTCGCCGTCGCAGACGTGAGAAGGAGAGGCCGCCACGAGTCCATTTACCGCCAGGGCTAGGGTACAAGTTACCGGGCTTTCCTCACATCGGGTTGTCTGGCTTTTTATGCGTTTTTTATGAAACTTGTTCCTCCAGTTCTTGGGCCTCGCCCCGGGCTACAGCCCAGGCAGCCCGGGGCCTAGATCCGCCCCTGGTGGTGGTCTGGTCTGGTCTGGTGGGAGTGCAGGGGAAACAGACAAAGAAAGCGAGCAAAGGAGGAATTTTTATATTTTAATCCTTTTTTAATAAATATTTTAATTTTAACCGCTCCAGAAAATATATTGCACCTCATAGCCTTTTGGTCGCGCCAATCCCGCTGGCGCGACCAAATAACGTTGTCGCGCCACATGCGTTGGCGCGGCAAGAAACGGCATGCACGACGGCGTTTCCGACGTGAAAAGGCTTGTCGCGCCACTCCCGTTGGCGTGACAGTATGATCTTGTCGTGCCACCGGGATTGGCGTGACAAGACAAAATTTTCAAAAAATCATAACTCTTCAATGGATGAAGATGGTTTTTATATGAAAATTATAGAGCTCGATGAGATCTACAACTCTCTAGTTTTAAGTTTTTTCATTTGAGGATGTTAAGATGACCAAAAAAATTATATAAAGTTTCAGCACCAAAATAATCGTATACTAGTGTTTGCCGTCATCAGAAAAATAATATCTTTTTCTTATGGATTCAAATGAAGATAATTTGTATACCAAAGTTGTAGTTTTGAGTTTTTACATTGAAGGTCTTTAAGATACTCAAGAAAATAGTATAAATTTTTAGTTATATTAATCGTGCTGAAACTTTAATCCCGATTGCTGAGAGAATGAGAGGTCAGAGGTGAGAATTGAGATTAGGGCCTTGCTGTTGCTGACTGCTGCTTGCTGCCGTGCTACCTGCCTTCTGCAGTCTGCTGCTCTAGAACGCCGCCGCCCGCCTGGCCTCTCGGCCCTCAGCCCCTCACGCGCCCACGCCACACGCGCCAGGAGGGAAAGCGGAAGGTCGCGTCGCGACTCGTGCGGAGCGGCTGCGGCCGTGATCACGCACGGGAAATAGGGAATTAGGGAGTCGGGGAGTAAAACGAGTGGACACGAAATTTTCCTTTTTTTCTGTTACGGTTCAGGGACGAACTCTGGAGTGCTCCGCACTTGGACGGTGGGAAAATGCATTGGTATGTTTTTTATATATTTATATTTATATTAGCAGGTACACTTTTTTATATATACGATATGATTTGAATTTTCCGATTGCAGTCATTTTTGGGACGTGTGTAGTATAAGGTTTTTTTAGACCACTAATTATCTATATTAGTCTTAGTTTCCATATTTATTCATACTCCATTAAAAAATCATGAAAAATTCTGACTTGATTTTAACATAATGTGATCTAAACCATATTTTGGCAATTTTATTATTTTTTGTGGCAAATATCTAAACAACGGCCACACAATTTTACCACGGTTCAGTAATGAACAAAATAATTCAATTGTAACACATAATGTGGCAAGCCATAGTATAGCAAATATTTAACCTTAGTGTAAAATGCGGCCGGTAACCAAATGGATCCTTGTCTCTGCCGTTGCAACACACGGGCATGTTTGCTAGTATCTATCTAAAGTTGCAAAATAAAAAAGATTTACCATATAAATCTTGTGTATGTACCAAGATCTAAAAAGAGATCTTTATATCTATAACTTTCTTTATTGAGTTAGCAGCGGCTAGCGTCCAAAGCCCAGAGTAGGGTTTCGGGCTTTTTGTCTTCGCTTTCGTCATCTCCTTGTTCCACGCGGAAAAACCTTCCTTGCTCATCGCGGGCTTAAACGGTAGTTCAGGTAGGCCGAGGACTACACTTAAATTTGGCCCTAAAATATTTTTTAGCACTTACGGTAGCATTTTAAACACTTTAGGCCATATAAAAACTCTGGCCCAACAGAGAACGGAAAGAAGGCCGCACAAGCTCTTCTCCTCTGCTTTGCCCTTGCCCATCCCCCCTACGCGAGACCTGCCTCGAGCCCCCCGAGGCCGCGACGCAACACGCCGCGTCCGACTCCGAGCGCCGCCGCCCCCCAAGCGCCGAGGCCGAACCGCCGGAGAGGTACCCCTCGTAAGGTTAGAGACTTTAAATGTAGATAGCTCTCAAAGTTATTATTAATCTGACGCTGCAGCATGGCACGATTCTTCACTGAAATATTACTGCAGATTTGCGTGTCAAGCACTGAAACGTCTGTTTCTGAATGATATGAAAATTTGCTGTTCCCGTTCCTTGGGAAAATATTGGATTCTGGCCTTCCCTACTGAGTAGTGACTAGCTATTGAAAGTTCTACCGAGCAGATTCAACCCCTAGTTTTCTCAACAATAGAGAGTACCAGTGTCTAATTGAATTGCATTCCTTCTTTCCTGATGTCTGTTTTCGTGGATTTTCACAAATACTACTAGAAACAGAGGCAACATTATAGTCAAATTTCAAATCTATGCAAGTTTGAAACTTATTTGTTGATCGTTGAACCTAAGGTATTATATCGATCCATTTGTAGAATTTATGGTTGTGTTACATCGTATTGTATATTAGGATTTTTATCTAGGCATAACCCACCACTGCTTGGATAGTTGGATGCATGGTGTTTTCCCCCTTGGATTAACTTTTATCCACAATCGAATTCAAATCCCAGTCTCTCAAGCTACGCGTGCACTTTACTTTTTTCCCCACAAGTTTTGCTGACTTTACTTTTTTCCCCAAAAGTTTCACTGGTTGAGGAGAACCATGCTGGACGTGAAGCCCCCCACTGCCGCTGCCGCCGTCGCCAAGGCGGCGGCTGGTGACTCGCCTTCCCCTGCTGCTACTCCTGCTCCTGTGCCGGTGGTGACCAACAGCAATGGTACGCCGCAGAAGCCACCTCCTATTCCAGTCGCCACCTTCGACATGCCCAAGCCAAACCTTCGGGGTCTTAACAAGCCCCGATGCATCCAGTGTGGTAACGTCGCCCGCTCCCGGTAAGAAGGCAGTTTATCGATACTTCCTTATTAGGCAGATTATTTCCTACTTGTGGTATGGTGTGCAGAGGCAGTTTACAGGCAACTGAGAACCTTCACCTTTGGTTATGTGATAGAGACTGCATTGATCTTTGATTTGCTAATGGATTATATATTTATATGTGCACGTTCTGCTTGGCCTTTCAGGTGTCCGTTCCAGTGCTGCAAGAGCTGCTGCTACAAGGCCCAGAATCCTTGCCACATCCACGGTATGTGTGATATACTCCTTTAATATGATAATCTGCACTGTTACAAGAAAATGATAATCTAAACTTGAAGTTAGTGACCCACAAGCAAGCAGTTTGGTGAATGGTGATATTCTATCTAAATATCTGCACAACTACATATCTAGTCTGGCCAGTTTACCAGGCATCCCTTCTGTTTTTGTTGGCAAAATTGCCTCTATAGTCCTCTCCATGAATCGTTTTGCTAACATACTACTCTCCAAACTCAGTATCCTATCTTATCATCACTTCCTAGTCCCTACTCTGTTTTCCACCATGTCAAGGGCACTGTAGTTTATCCTAGTGGCCCTGTGGCTCGTAGTCTCACGATCGAGGTGGAGGTTATACCCCTCTCAACCCATTTTGGGCTTAGGGCGGGGGGAAGAAGAGAATAGGAGATTAATCTTGCTTAATTCATTCTTCCCTTGTAAATAAATAGCCAATGGCTCAACCAACTATGGAAGGAATTCCCCTAATTATAGGACTAACCAAAACAGCCTCTAATCCAATCCCGATTTCTAGCCATCGAAGTTGCCCCCCGGTGGATCGCTCTGCCTTTACTCTGCGTACGTCGTCGTCCGACATGACATCTCTCCTCCTCGAAGTCCACGTCCCGAGCTGAAAAGCCGAAACCGAGAGCGGAAGTCATCCAGATCCTCCTCAGAGATGGTGGCTCGCCTCGCCATTCGACGGCAGTGGACATCTCGGGCGATCCGGCCTTGGCGACCCGGGTGCAGAGCTTCGATGCGCGTAGTGGGGGTAGTGGTGGAGGGTAGCGGCAACCGAACTTCGAGGAACGATGTGGAACACGTCGTGCGGCTGCGTGTTACTGAGGCGGACAACCACCTCGTTGATCAACTCGGGACTCGACACGGCCCGATATAGCGAGCTTGAAGCAATGGGGAGAGGACGCCCACCTGCATGCCACGGAAGGACACCTAGCGATGGTCTCCTGGGGGCTGACGCTCCAGCCAGCGGAGTGAAGCTGTGCTCCGGCTCATAGGAGCGAATGGCGGGGACGGCCGTGAACCACCCGAACGGCGTGTCGCGGAGAGAGGGGTAGGCGGTGTTGTAGATGGAGGGAGGCGCGACGGTGACGCAAGTAGACGAGTTTTGATGTCCGCTGCGGATGGAAGGCGGATGACATGAAGAGCTTTGTCCCGGTGAGCGCGCAGCTCCTCGCCGTAACGCCGACGTAAACACCGGATCGCGGTCCGAGACAATGGACTATGGAACACCATGGAGGCGAACGATGCGGCGAAGAAAGCTCGGGCGATCGCGGGTGTAAGGTGCAACTTCGCCTTTTATTTGCACCTCTCGATGAAGTTGTTCCGAGAACTTCATGGCTGGCGGTACGGCGTTCGCACGAATCTCCCGCACGATGCGGCGCATGTTGGGGAAGTGGAAATCTCGCCGAAGTCGATGGAGAGCGCGGTGGATGCCTTCCATGGCCATCATAGACGGGTACCGCCACGACCTCCTGGAGTAGCGGCGACGCTGGTGGGATGTAGAAAATGAGCGCAAGGGGCGCCCTTAGAGGTGCAAGAGGCAGTAGGGCCGGGTCAATGGCTGGGCATGGCGCAGACGGTCGACGAGGTCGGCGAGCGGGCGCCGAGATCACCATGACCTCCCCTCTTTATTGCATTGCGAGGGAGGGCGTCACGACGATGTTTTATTTATTTGAGCGGTACTCCACCGAGAAGTCGAAGCCAAGAGCTTTATTAGACCAGTGGTCTTTGAGGATCGTGGTGGAGGCGCCGTCGAGATACTTCAGTCGTAGTGGTCCGTCTTGATCCAGAATTATTAATGCCTGGAGCAATGTTTGGGATGTAATCACAAAGTGAAGAAGGCGACGGGTGGCCTTCGGTCGGGGACCGCCCCAAACCCGACGGGTCGAGCGTCGTGACTCGACGGTGAACAACTTGGTGAAGTCCGGCAATGATGGCGGGGAGAGCCGCGAGGAACGTGGTGCAAAGAAGTGCCCGTAGACGTGGGACGAACTTGCGGTAGTAGGGTTGCACCGAGGAAGCCATCGCCCGCACCAGCCGCGAGAGCCGGCCGGATCGTGGATCGCACTTGCACCTTGGGCGGGTCCATGGCCACCCGCAGCGGAGATGATGTGGCCGAGGTAGGCGACGGAGGAGGCTCCAAAGGAACATTTGAGCGCTTGACGAAGAGCCGGTGGCGTCCATTCGTCGAGGACCGAGGTGATCCGCCCATGTCCTGCTTGTAGATGAGAATATCATGAAACGACGGAGAAAGCGGCCGAGCACGTCATTCATCGAGCTGAACGCGTTTGGAATGAATCTTCAGAGGTTATCTGCAAGTGCGAAGCACTTGTGAACATCATCCAACCGGACCGAGGTCGGCTTTGGTGAAGAAAGCGCCATGGAGCTGTCGTCAACCAAAAAAGCGCCTGTGAGTCAACGCCACGAAAATGGAGGAGGTCATAGAGGAATCGCCGCCCAACTTTTGTGCGCCATTGGTGACAACTTGCATCCGGGCTGGTGATCGCGGTGGTCGTCAGCGCGTTTAGGGGGCGTTGCGGGTCGCGAAGAGCCCCGTGACGCTGCTGCAAAGAAGGCGTCGAGGAGATATTGCTTGAAAAGGCGGGACTGTCAAATGAACGTCATGTGCCGGAGAGGAAGACGGGGCCCACGCGCGCGGACCGTGTCCCAGGGGCGGGTTATTGATTGAAGAGGTCGGCCGGAACGCGACGCTGCCGATGATAAGGGGCGTCGCGGATGACGCCGTCGCAGTGACGCTTCGCCGTTCGCCTTGGCGCGCCGCGCATGATTCGAGATGAAGTTAAGCCGGAGTCGAGGAGAGCGACGAGGGTAGCGGCGCCGAGGGCCACGCTGATCGCATGGTACCCGGGACCCAACCACGGCAAGAAAAGAAAAGGGGGGCCTCGGCGTCGGGCGGCGCCGCCGGTTCGCGACGTCGTCAATCTTCTGCAAAAAGCGGTTATGGCCGCGAGTGTATTTTCGTTGCGGTTGAAAGAGAGACCGAGACGGTGGCGCCACCATCTCCTCAAGCAGAGGCGGCGATTCCGTCACAGTGGTTATGTTAGAATCATTTCTTATGAACATTGATGTTTTATTTATGATATTTCGATGCTCATATCAATCTGCATGATAGCATGGAATTCGGCGCCCAGAGATCGCGGCGGTGTTTGCTCCTCGTCCACCGACCCGCCGAGGCTTATTTGCGCGGCTTTTCAGTGAGTTCGAACAATGGGCGCCCGATCGAGCGGCGCCCGAACGCAGTTGAGGAACTCCTTGAAGCGCGCCAGTTGCGTTGATTGGGTATATCATGTCTGCTAGCTCACGCCACACGCGCGCTCCTGCCATGGTACGGTGTTGGCGGAAGTAGGAGTCGCATTTGTTGAGGAAGATGCCATGGTGCCGGCCGAAGGCGTGGAAATCCCACTTCTTGTGCTTGGGCGGGTAGTGTTTGACCTTTTTTACTTGCCGCCGCCGGCGGACGACTCGGACTTCTCCTTCTTGGCCGAGGCCATATCGGCCTTCATGGTAGCCATGTCGCCGGTGAGGGCCTTGATGGCTGCCATGAGGTCATTGCCGCTGGAGGGCTCGGCCATTTGGAGGAGAGACGGAGACTTGAGGAGGAGGCGATCATGATAGTTCGGCTGCGGAAGAAGAACAGGAGGAGCGGGTGGGAGAGGATCGACGAGACCGTGATACCAGTTGTCAAAGCCATGTAGTTTAGGGTAGCTGGCCCTCGACACACTAAGCTCGTAGTCTCCCTGCAGTCAGTGGTGGAGGTTATACCCCTCTCAATTTGGGCTTAGGAGGCGTGGGGGGAAGAAGAGAATAGGAGATTAATCTTGCTTAATTCATTCTTCCCTGCTTACAGGAATAAATAGCCAATGGCTCAACCAACTATGGAAGGAATTCCCCTAATTATAGGACTAACCAAAACAGCCTCTAATCCAATCCCTGATTTCTTTTGGAAGTGCCCCTTCGGGTTGGTGGATTGCTCTGCTTGGCAGCTCAGCCCATGTGGCGTGACGTCATGGCGCGCGCCTGCGCCTTTATGTCACGTCCGTCCGCACATGACACACCATCCTAGTGCTGTGCGGCACGATTGGAATGCAGGACTCTCACAGTTACATTCTCCGTCTCCCTGGCCACTCCCAACCCAATCCCCCGTCACCTTCTGCCTTTACTCTCCATCTTCTACCCCTGCAGCCACTGCAAATCTCACCGTCCTCAGTGCTTGGCGAGTGGACATCTCCACGGTGCTTGATGTCCATGAGCTTCGATCGCACTTGACCAACTTCCAAACCATGGATCCCTTACTGCCACTGGGCCCCATAAGATGAAGCAATGCCACCTGCATGAGGTCATCTCCTGGGGGCTACACCAGGAGTGAAGCTGTGCTCCATGCACATAACCCGGGGGGGTAGATGGAGGGAGGTAGGGTGACAGCAGATTTGATGGAGCGCTATGACAACCGTATTAGCAAAACAGATTGTGGAGAATGCTATCGAGGCAACTTCGCCTTTTATTTGCCCTCATTCAGCAATTGTTCCAGAACTTCTCATATTTAGGGGTGTATTTGGTTCCATAGCCGAAATGAGCTTGCTTAGAGGTGCAAGCTAGCAGATTTAACCAATCCATCATAGCAACGATTTACTATTTATTTGTTTTCCAAATATTTATGGCAAGTTATTAGACAAAAGAATTAGTTATTAGCCATCCAGAATTATTAATGCCTGGAGCAATGTTTGGGATGTAATCACAAAGTTTCTGGGTCAATGGGGTCGAGGAACGTGGTTCACTACTTGCGACTTGCGAGAGGTTTATAATGGCAGGGTTGAAAATAACCCAGTGTACCCAGGTCAGGGGTCAAGTTCCCAGGTCTTGGGTTGATGCCTTCGACCCTGTTTTCTGTGACTATGGTTTGGAATGAATCTTCACAAACTGCAAGCACCACTCATCCAACAGAAATGAAATGTGTAAAAAAAAACAAGTAATGGAAGGTCATAGAGGAATTTTTGCATGGTGACAACTTGCATCCTCTGTGAGGATGTTGTGATCCTATATTGCTTCAAGGACATGTCAAATATGTGGGGAGGAAGTGTTAGATGGGTTATTGATTGAACCTTGCAATGACTGTCATTGTAAGTTTGTAACTATTACCTTCATGATTCATGAAGAAATGGGGGAATAGTGAAGGGGAAAAAGTGAAGGTTTGGGAAGTTTCTGTAGTTCCAAACTTCCAGTCTAGCCAAGCAGTGTTAGTGGTTATGTTAGAATCATTTCTTATGAACATTGATGTTTTATTTATGATATTTCTATATCAATCTGCATGATAATTCAATTTTTCTTATTTTATTTTTTTTAAATTGTTTATTATCATGTCTGCTGCTCTGTGCTATGCCGTGATGTTGTTTATTTTTTACTCTACTCTGAACACCACTGATGTTGCCTCACTTTACTTACCATGATAGTTCTGAAGCAGACCGACACATTGCCAGATAAGCCATCACCTGCTACTGCTCCTGCAACAGAACAGCCATCTACCAATTTACCTGCAACCAGGTAAAATTCATAAAACATAAGTAGAGAATTAATCTCTTGCAAACCACTGCATTGTTTTAATGCTTGATTGTTGTTTTTTCACAGTTCAGCATCAAGGCTGGCTGCCCTGCAAAAGCTTCCCCAGCATTTTCTGAAGTCTCTCCAAACAAAGAAGTCACTTACCAAAAAGGTTATTGGCTGCTTCACGCGCTCTGTTTGTTTTGAACCGTTTTTTGTTTCTTTTGTGACTTTTGTTTTGTTCTAGGATGTTGTGGGTATAAACAAGTGGAGGTTTATGAAGCTAAAGGAACACATGCAAGGAGATATCGATGCTGAAAATGAAGCATATGAGAGGTATACACAGAATGTTGGGTTACTGGAGGAAACATTCTATCCCATGGAAGATGCTGATGTTGAGCCAGAAGCTGAAGCAACTTCTTCAGAAGAAGAAAGGACGGACTTGTTGGTTTCAGAGGCAAAGGTGAGGTTGAAGTCGGATAACGAAACTGCTGATAGCTTCAAGGAGAGGGTTGCCACCATCTTGGACCAGAAGCTGAAGAAACTGCTTGAGAGTCAAAGCGCCAATGAGGATGACAAACCATCTGATCCAAATGAGGATGATCATCCAAGCCCAATGAAGTTCAGCACAAAGAAGAAGATGGAGAGAACCGCGAAACTGAACGAGCTGCTTGGTAAGCTGACAAGAGCGCGGAGCGAGGACGATCTGAAGCCTTGCCGTGATCTTGTTGAGCAGCCAAGGTTCAAAAAAACGTTATTAAACGCCGTTTAATTGAGTTTAGTCGCTGAACGGTGGCCCAACGTCTCGTTTAGGGGGTAGGCGTTCAATTAGACGCGGGGGGGTCCTAGACGCTCGTCTACACGCGTTGCAGCGAGTAAACGTCGCAGAATCGGAGAAAAAACGTCGCGGGCGGTGGAAATCGCGGGCAGAAGCGCGCGCGGGGGGCGGGAAGTCGCGCGCGCAAGGAAAGGAACGGGGGCGGGAAATCGCGCCCTTGGGCGTGGAAAAGAAGAGCGGCGGGCGCGGAAAGGAACAGAGAGAGGCATCGGGGCTTCTGTCGCCGTCGCCCGCATCTCGGCTCTCGCGTGCCTCCTCCTCCCGCAGCCCCGCCTCCTGCCGGCGAGCTGCTGCCTCATCGCCAGTCCCGAGATTCGACGCAGAGGCCGACGGACGCCCAGTCGCCAGTCCCGACACAGAGGCCATAGTTGCTGCGTTCCGCTTCTCCACTGCAGGAGCAGCCACGCAGGGGTCTCCACCGCCGGCACAGCCCCTGCTCCTTCTCTCCAGGTGCTCCATCGGTCTCTCCCATCTTCCCTTGCTATGTAGTCTGCAATTTTGATTTGTGCATGTCAATCACTCAATTGATGAATTGGATTGGGGATTTAGGGTTAAGATTGAATGTGTATTAGTACCTGTCTTCTCAGTAGCTCCTTAGTCCTTATGATGGGTTCATCTTTGGTCCTTATTATGCCTTCTAATCCTGTTCTTGGATTGGGATTAGCATGTCAACGTCCGAAGCTGCAGCTGCTGCTGGTACTGAGGCAGCGGCTCCAGAAGTCAATGAGGTTGACAACCACCTAAAGAGGAAATCATCTGATATAGGCTGGGAGTGGGGGCGTCTCTGTGATCCCAATGACAAGAACAGAGTCAAGTGTCTTTTTTGTGGCCAAGAGAGCACAGCAGGAATTTATCGCCTTAAGCAGCATCTTGCTCATGTTGGCACATCTATTGTGAAGTGCTCAAAAGTGAGTGAGGAAGTGAAGCAAAAGTGCAAGAGGAATCTTGATGAAACAGCAAAGAAGAAAAGAGATAAGCAGCAGCATGACAAAGAGGTTAGGGAGAATGTGCAGCTTTCAACAGCTGAACAGGAAGTGGTAGAAGTTGAGTCACTTGTTGGAAGCTCAAATACGCCTCGCAAGCTAGGACCCTTGGACAAATTTGCAAGACCGATTGATCCCAACTTAAGCAATGCTGAAGCTAAGAGGCAACAAAACATAAATGATGCACTTTGGAAAGAGAGAACACACAAAGTGCTGCAATATGTTGCTAGATGGGTGTATACACATGGTATGTTTTGTACTTCACACTAATTGATCATTCCTTATTGTTGCAGCCTTCATAATTATTGTAATCCATTCATGATTAGTTGCTGGAATTTAATTTTGTACCAATCTATTCTGCAGCTATTCCATTCAATGCCTGTGATAATGATGAGTTTAGGGAAATGGTTGAAGCTATTGGGCAATTTGGTCCTGGTTTCCACCCTCCAACTCAGTATGATCTTCGGGGGAAATTATTGGAAGAGGAGCATGCAAGAACCAAGAGCTTGCTACAAGACCGTGAAGATGAGAAGATTAAGCATGGCTGCTCCATCATGACTGATGCTTGGACAGATATGAAGAGAAGAAGTATTATGAACCTGTGCACAAATACTAGTGAGGGAACAACTTTTATCAAGTCAAAGGAGATGTCAGATGTGTCACACACTAGTGAAGTTATATATGAGCTGGTTGATAAGGCAATTGAGGATGTTGGTGCTGAAAATGTGGTGCAAATTGTGACAGATAATGCTTCTAACAACATGGGAGCAAAGGCATTGCTGAGCCTTAAGAGACCAAACATATTTTGGACTTCTTGTGCAACTCATACTGTCAATTTGATGCTGCAAGGTATTGGCAACCTTCCAAAGTTAAAGAAAACAATTGATCTTGCGAAATCATTCACTATCTTTGTCTATGGTCACCACCGAACTTTGGCATGCTTAAGGTCCTTCACCTTGAAGAGAGAAATCATTAGGCCAGGGGTAACTAGATTTGCTACAACCTATCTTACATTGCAAAGTATGATGGAAAAGAAAGATTGTCTGAGAAAGATGGTGGTTGATTCAAAGTGGTATGACTTACCTGATGTGAAGTCCAAGAAGGGCAAGGATGCTACAGCTACGGTGTTGAACATTAATTTTTGGAGAGATGTGTCCCTTTGTTTGAAGGTCTTTGAGCCCTTGGTGAAAGTGCTACGCTTATTTGATGGGGATGTGAAGCCATCTATGGGTTATGTGTACGGAGAACTTCTCAAGGCAAAGAGGGAGATAAAGGAGGCATTTGGAAATGTGGAAAAGAACTACAAAGAAGTCATGGCTATTGTTGACAAGAAAATGAAGGGTAGGCTTGATTCTCCAACTCATGTGGCTGCATATATGCTGAATTCCTACTACAGTTATAGCAATGTAGCAATATTCTCTGATCCAACTGTGGTTGAAAAATTCATGCAATGTGTGGAAACCTTTTATTATGGTGATGATGATAAGGAATATAGGACTGTTAATGAGGACTTGGAGAAATTCCAAAAGAGACAAGGAAACTTCTCAAAAAAGATGGCAAAGAGCTGTGAACGCTTTGAGTTCAATCCGGGTAAGCTTTTGCATCAATTCTGTCCATATATTTCCTTCAATCAAATCTGTCCAGATTTTGTTGCAATCAATTCTGCACATATTTGATATATTTCACTTCATTTTGTAGCATCTTGGTGGAGGTTTTATGGAGGTGGAACACCAGATTTGCAAAGAATGGCTATTAGAATCCTCTCACTGACTTCTAGCGCTTCTGGATGTGAAAGGAATTGGAGCACTTTTGAACAGGTCAGTTTGTAGTCTACCAATTGCTCTTTATTCCCAATTTGGTGTACAAGTGCTGATCAGCTGATGTGAATTCCATGGTTTTTGGTTTGTAATGTACAGCATCATACAAAGAGAAGGAATAGGTTGACAACAGAGCGTCTCAACTCTCTAGTATTCATCCAATTCAATAATAAATTGATGTCCAAGAAGGAGAAGATCGCTAGAAAGAGTAACTATGAAGTGCTTCTAAGTAATGATGCTTCTGAAGCTCAAGGATTCTTCTTTGACGGCGGGGATGATCATGCATTGGTTGTGTTTAGAGATGAGGAAGATGAGGGAGAAATGCCGGGTACCGGGATACCATGGAGTGTCCTTGGAGAAGCAATGGGAACTAATGAACAGCTCCAACCTCATAGGAGTGCAAGAGTGGCTAGAGAGGTGGATGAAGAGTGGGAATCTGAATTGGATGATCCTAATTATCAAGATGACATTGACTATGAAGATGAGGAGGATGAAGAAGCAATTCTAAACTCCACCACATTTGCGGAGTAAGGAGATTGCATTATGGCAGCATGCTGCCAAGTTATCTAGATATTACTAATATCTAACTATTTATCTTGAATTTGTGTGTGGACCATAAGGCCATTATTATGTGCTGAACTTCTATTTAATTTGTGGACCATTAAGGCAAGTGATGATCTGTTAGTGTTGTCTATATATTTTCCTGTGATCTTGTGACCTGTGCTGCTGATTGGCTGCTGCTCTGTTGTCTAGAAGCTTGGTTGTGCATGTACAATATTGAGCTGCCCCTCATAGATGAGTTTCTACTCTTTGCCTATCATTTGATTGTCTGGTTTTCAGATTATTATTTATTAACTTGTCTCTCTTTCATGGTTAGCTGCTGTTGGATGCAAGAAGCCAAGGAGAGAGGAAATTATGTCAACAACAAGTGTGCAGAAAGAGCAAGATGTATGTTCATTACTCCAAGTTATTATTGAGTACTATTTAGTATTTAGTATTTAGTATTTACTACTCATCTTGGTCTCAGCAGCACAAAAATATTAAAATAATTAAAAAACACACAAACGATTAATCACGTTTAATCTACGTTTAATCTTCCTAGGTGCTAGTTAGTAGGCTAGCGCCTGCCTAGCGCCTAGCGTTTTTTTGAACATTGTGAGCAGCTGCTTGGAAAGGAGAACGGTGCATCTGTGGACAAGCCAGACAGAATGGAGACGGAGCCGGGCGATCAAGAGCCAACTGCAGCAGTAGCACGGCCTTATTCCATCCCAAAGTTGTGCACTAGAATGGAGGTTGATGATGACTTCGCCTCAAAGATCAATGATGAATTCTCCTCGTTGAGTCAGGTGGTGCAGCTATGAGTCTGAAATCTGGCCCAGTCGCTATGTAACTGTTCTGTAGGGGATGTTATCACTGATCTCCTTCGATGTGTTTTTTCACTGCTAACTCAACAGTTATTTTATCGATGTGCTGACCTGTCATTTAGTGTAAGCAAGTGTTTGGCTGTTCGCAGTGAAGCCAAAGCAGTGGCGGCAACTAGGGTGATGCTGTGTTTTCTTTCTTTCTTTCTTTTTCATGCTGCGTTTTCTTGTTTCCTGTTTTCTTGATTTGTATTTAATTCTGTTACATGACGAATGAATGGATCGAAATGTCTGACTCAAAGTTATCTCGACAACTATAGTGCAGCTCTCTTCAGCAAAGTACATGAAGCGTTCATCATTATGCCCGTGCGTACCCAACGCACGCATGACTTGTGTCAGTATCCTGAACAACACAATTAATGCACCTGACGAAGTACATGCTTCCAGTAATTGTCTCAGCATCCTGAACAACGCTAAAGCAAATAATAAGGCTAATAGCAGTTTACTCCCCCAATCCTTAAATAACTGTTGCTTGCGCTTTCCAAAAAACAATTTCAATTAAATATATTTTACAAAGTATTGATATTTATAGTACATAATTAATATCATTAGAAAGATCTTTAAATCTAGTTTTTTAATAAATTTATTTTGAGATACAAATGTTGTACATATTTTGTACAAATTAAGTCAAACTTGTGGCACACACACCAATGACAACAATTAAAAAGGGACGGAGAGAGTACACAGTAATGCATGAGCATTTTCACTTAGGACATGCATTATCATTGTATTTCAGATTGTACATCACTCTCCTCGCTGTTGGGTGTCAATAAACAGTATCCATGCTTACAGATATACATATGGCTTTCGGATTCATGGATGGGCCTCACCCTACAATTACCATTCTATAGCTCTCGTTTTCTTAGGGTTCAATTTGTGTTGAGAGTAGCAGGAGTATATTCAAGCCCATTTGATCTCATGGAGAACTAAAGAACAAGGACATTGCATGGTGAATTATTGGCCACTGCAATATACACGTTAGTCATAATGATTGTAATATCATCAATCGCCAAAATTGAATTAAGGGTCTAGATTCTTTTTATCGCCTTTTTTTTGTGATTGATGACAACACAATGTCGAGTATGTGCACATAAGGTAAAAAAGGAGGTTTCAACACTTTGCATGAACATGTGATAATAAGAATAGAGGGTTAAAACGAATTCATGCAAGCCAAGCCCACAACATGCACACAATAGAAAAGAATTAATCACATGTACCACAAAAAGTAATTTGTTTGACAAAATATATAATAAAAGCGCAAACACGAGCAACACAACTAACATGACATATATAATAGTAAAAGTAGAGACTACACATGTCACAAAAGCATCACAAGCACATATAGTATTATACAGTGCATTAAAGTAGATGTGAATGCATATGGAGTGGCACGCAAAAGATCCAAAATCCCAAATCATAGCTCTTTCCTTATCCACGTACTCTCCACTCTACTCTCCACTCTCCCTCTTTGGTGTCAAGTACCAAACCTAAGGGCCAGCTAGAGGAATGGTTGTTCAGTTGAATCAGGCTATAAAGTGCACGGCGGGACAAACTGAGCTACAAGTGCGTCCACATCTGACTCATAGGAGCTCTCAGACCTTGTTTATCCCGCTTTAGTCGGCTAAATAGCCGTTTTAGTTTGAGCAAGCTCTCAGGGCGTCCGCAATGGCTAGCTATTTGGCTAGCTAGATGTGATATGGCAAGAAAAAAAAAGGAGAGAGAGTAGTCACTAGTGACGAGCAAATAGCCTATCTATTTCACGTAGCCCAAGAGAGTATGTGGGTCCACTAGAACAAGAAGGTATAAAATAGTCATTTCTTTTGTCTTTCACCTCCACGTCAGCTAGCTACGTAGCTAGCACCATTGCGGATGCCCTGAGGCAGTAGATGTAGCTATGACCTATGGAGCTAGAGGAGCTAGAGCTGTAGCCTCTACAACCGTAGAGAGTGGGTAGAGTCTGACTCTGTGATATCTATTGTTGCTGGGGTCACAAGATGCTACCAAAGAGGGTATTCTCGACAGTACCAGTCATAGAACTGGAGAAAGTAGACGAGGCAAAGTAGGAGTTGATTGTGAGGGCTCTCATGTAACTCGACTACAACTGGCGAACAGGCTTTGAGTGGCTGGTGTGCTGACGTCACAACGAGCACTAACGATGTATGATGTGTTGAAGTATATGGATAGACCGGCAAAACCTTGTGACACCCTGGTCCTAGAGGAGTGAAAGTGAGCGTCATCGGGTGAATCGGTGACATGTACGTACTATTGGTAAAGACTCTGACTCTAAAGTCCGTTGGACTATATAGCTAGAGTCACTAGAGTATAAAGTTGAGCTGGAAGGACCATCTAAACTAGAAGCAAGAACGGTGGCACACCTTTGTGCTGGAGAAGGTGTTGCATTAGTGCCATGCCTTTTGCCACTCCTAAGTCATCTAGAGCTAAAATCGGTCCTGGCAGACTTGCGACCACACAAACATCGGGAGCACTTGTGCCTGGTGCTTCTAAGTCCTCGTCCTGACACTGAAGGTCAGCGCGCATCTCTAGCAAAGTGATAAACCTATATCATCACTAGAGGACGCTGCTCGTGGATGAACTAAAGTCGAGCCCCTCCCCCACCTTAGAGTCGTGTGCACGTGGTGACATTGGTGGTGGAGGTGGAGGAACAATGTAGTCCTCGTCTAAGTTGTCTGAGCTATCTATCTCCTTAGTCACCACTAAGCAGTGGTGAAGCTAGATTATATTAGAGAGTGGTGTACTTGCCTTGTGGGTGCATAGACTTATGCTATAGGTGGTGTGTATATATGGTGAAATTTTAGAAAAAAACCATTATTTTCATAAATTTTGGGTGGTGCATTGGCACCCACTAGCTTCTATCTACCTCGTCCCTGCCACTAAGCTATCTCTGCCTACTCTGCCTGTTGAATATCCTCATCCTAGGCCATATGTTCTTCTAACTCCTCCTTTGAGATACTACGCCTCAAGTCTCGGAGAGATCTACTTCCTTAGACTCCAATTCCCTCAAGCGACGTGTACAAGGTGAGTGACCACTGTAAATGGTTAATCATCTGAGAGAAGACATAGGACAACTGACATCTAGCACCCCCAAATCCACCTGAGGTAGTGTCCTCAACTCTAACATAGTAACAAGTCAATCACGTCAAACACTATGAACAAGATATGACAACCTAGTACCCACTGATGTATGTTGGTGAACACCTCAGCAAAACCAACACAAGGATGAAGCAACGTCCTCCTCATCGCTTTGTTCAACATTCACCCAATTGGTGGAGTGAGGTTAACTAGAGACTATTAGGAACCACCGCCAAACTGTGGGCGGAACAGGGCAGACATGTGAACTATAGGAGGTATCACCTTTTAGTGAGGGCATCTGGGTGGGTCTACTGTCCCATAGCACAAGTGTTGATGGTCCTTAACAACCACTTTTAACCATCAATTTCTTGCATAAAAGCAACTTAAAACCAACATCCAACATATATAGTAGTAAGGATTAAATCCTAAAAAATTATGTATTTAGGAGCTTTTTAGGTAAATACATAGAAATACATGTGCAAAAAGTGAGGAAACACAACTTAGACCAATCAAAGGTCGCCACACAGGCACACATCAAGATCCAATAAGCATAACCTAAAGGAAAACATCTTAACTCTTTGGTCTGTAGGCACATACATGATCAAGGCTGGCAAATGAACCTCTCTACCATAATTGGACCCAAAAGGCCACACAAAAGGTATGTCAAACCATGCTACAACGATGGTTCGATAGAACCTCCACTAAGCCCAATCAAGCCTAAGTTTGGCACGAGTAATCTTCACTACATCTAGATGATGATCCTGGGTGAAGACACTAAAAAGGGCACCTCCAAGGTTCGATCAAACCCTTTATTGGTCCCGGTTTGGCTGAACACTCACAAATCTCAATCAGGACCAACTTTGGTAGGTGCACTCTCCACAACCCCCAAAAGTCAGCCCAACCTTTGAAGATTAGAGAAGACACCATTTTGAAGGCAGTTAGAGGTGGAGAGGATAAGAGCATATTAAAGAGAGGGGAATATTTCTTAGAATATCTCCACCACCTCCCTCCTATAAATAG